AATGGGTGAATTATAAGATGGATTGGCACAGTGACTACAAAAATGACCTTGAGCATTGTTGGGATGTGAGGGAGACACAGAATGGGATAGTTACACTCTTGTTCAAAGGTTGCTGGAGTTGATTTGATGGCCCCTAACAACAACTGTTTTAGGGGATGACTGAGAGCGGGAAAACCAAAAAAATCTAAAGAACTCATTAATATTCATAAGGCTTGTCTGAGGCTAAATAGATAAAAGTACCATGCCTTATTTTTTATTTAAATAAAAAAATCCTCTACTTCTACATGTGGATACTCTGTACATGGAAGGCACTTAGGTATGCTGGCAGGATGACTATGACATCTGATGAGAATATAGGGTCCCACAATTACACCTTCAAGGACTAGTGTCTTAGCAGGCCTAGGAGTCAGTGATGCAGAGTGTGGTAGTCCACATCTGCTCCACACAGCCAGGTAGCTGGAGAAGTCACACTGATGTGCATCTGGCAGACTTCTGAGCACCTGAACTGAACATTATCTTCTCCAATGAAAAGTCCCAGATATTTGTCAAGTTTAGAAGTGCCGTGGTATTCTCTTGATGCTCAATAGGACAATTTCATAGCCCTTTGCCATGAGCTGTATTTGAAAGTCTTCTCTGCTTATTTCTTTTCTAGGTTTATCAGCTACCATCTGCTGTTTGTTGCAGTGTGTTTCAAGCATGTGGTGTTGATGTCATGGAGTGATGATTGAATACTAAGCAGAAGGGCTCAGTTCTAGTCCATATCCATCAAGCATGTTCAAATTAAGAGGAAATACAATTACAATTAACTGAATGAAGAATGGGGCTTAGTATAGATAGAAGGAATGTTCTATTTTTTTTCCCCTTACATTTAAATGATACAAATATAGAACAAATGGCTCTATATATGTGTGCGAAAGGAGTTCTGGTGGTATTGTGGATTATGCATCATGACACTAACTCAAAGGCAGGCAGTTCAAATCCACCAGTTGCTCCTTGCAAAAAAGATAGATAATTATTCCCACGTAAAGGTTTACAACTTCTGAAACCTAATGGAGGGTTTCTCTGAGTCAAAATAAACTCAATGTTGGATAATTTCATTTTTAATAGATAGATACAGATATAGAAATACATATAGATAGATAGTGTAGATAGTGTGGCATCAGGATTGGAGGTATACTCATCAACAATCTGCGTTATGCAGATGACACAACCCTGCTTGCTGAAACTGAGAAGGACCTGAAGCGCTTGCTGCAGAAGGTCAAGGACTGCAGCCTTCAACATGGATTGAAGCTCCACATCAAGAAAACAAAGATTCTTACTACTGGGCCAATTGGCAGCATCATGAAAGATAGTGAAGAGACTGAGATTGTTGACAACTTCAGTTTGCTTGGTTCTACAATCAACACTATAGGTACCAGCAGCCAGGAAGTTAAAAGATGAATTGCAATGGGAAAATCTACTACTATCAGAGACCTCTTCAAGGTACTGAGGAGCAACGATGTCAGTGTGGAGACTAAGGTGTGCCTGATACAGACCATGGTCTTTGCCATTACTTGCTAAGCATCAGAGAGCTGGACAATAACTAGGGATGACAGAAGAAGAGTTGATGCCTTTGAGCTTTGGTGGTGGAGAAGAGTACTGAATATACCATGGACTGCTGGGAGAACAAACAAGTTAGTCCTGGAGAAGGTGAAGCCAGGCAGCTCCTTGGAGGCAAGGATTCTGAAGCTCCGTCTGACATATTTTGGACAGGATCAGTCCTCATTATGCTTGGGAGGGTGGAGGGACAGTGCAGGAGAGGAAGACCCTCAATGAGATGGAATGATTCCATCACTGGGGTAATGAGGATAGGTGTGTTGGAGACAGTAAGATTGGCAAAGAGTAGAGCAGGCTTTAGGGCTGTTGTCCATAAGGTCGCTATGAGTCGCAAGTTACTTGATGGCACATGACACAACAACAACAACAACAACAACAATAACAATCATAT